GACATTGTTCCAGAGGTCTCTGAGATTGTCCTCATTTCTTTTAATTCTTTTTTCCTCTCTGCTTCATTTATTTCCACCATTGTATCTTCCACCTCACTTATCCTATCTTCTGCTTCTGTTATTCTACTGTTGGTTCCCTCCAGAGTGTTTTTTATCTCATTTATTGCCTTATTCATTATTGATTGACTCTTCTGTATTTCTTCTAGGTCCTTGTTAAACCTTTCTTGCATCTTCTCAATCTTTGTCTCCAGGCTATTTATCTGTAAGTCCATTTTGTTTTCAAGATTTTGGATCATTTTTACTGTCATTATATTGAATTCTTTTTCAGGTAGACTCTCTATCTCCTTCTCTTTTGTTTGGTTTGGTGGGCATTTATCATGCTCCTTTACCTGCTGAATATTTCTGTGCCTTTTCATCTTGTTTATATTGCTGTGTTTGGGGTGACCTTTCTGTATTCTGGCAGTTTGTGGTTCCTCTGTATTGTGGAGGTTCCTCCCTGCGGGTGGGTTTGGACCAGTAACTTGTCAAGGTTTCCTGTTTAGGGAAGCGTGTGTCAGTGTTCTGGTGGGTGGAGCTGGATTGATTCTCTCTGGAGTGCAATGAAGTGTCCAGTAGTGAGTTTTGAGATGTCTATGGATTTGGTATGACTTTGGGCAGCCTGTATATTAAAGCTCATGTCTATGTTCCTATGTTGCTGGAGAATTTGCATGGTATGTCTTGTTCTGAAACTTGTTGGCTCTTGTGTGGAGCTTGGTTTCATTGTAGGTATGGAGGCTTTTGGATGAGCTCTTATCTATTAATGTTCCATGGAGTCAGGTGTTCTCTGGTGTTCTCAGGTTTTGGATTTAAGCCTCTTGCCTCTGGTTTTTGGTCTTAATCTTACAGTAGCCTCAAGTTGTCTCCATTCCTACAGCACTGATGGTAAAACATCTCCTTTCAAAGGCAATGGGCTGCCTTTCTGGGTGCCTGTTTTCCTTTGCCTGCATTTGGAAGTTGTTTTGTGGAATTTGCTCAGCATTCAAATGATGTTTCTATGAATTTGCTGGGGAGAAAGTGGTCTCTCCATCCTATTCCTCCACTATCTTAGGACCTCCATCTTGTAGTTTTTTTCTAATCTCATAACACTTTGATGAGACAACATGCTTGATGTGTTTTCAATTTTCTTTAATTTGCCGAAGTTTGCCTTGTGGTCCAGCATGTGGTCATTCCTGGAGAATGTTCCGTGTGCACTTGAGAAGAATGCTGCTTTGGGGTGGAATGCTCTATAATTATCAGTTAAGTCCATCCACTCTAAAGTGTCATTTAAGCCTGTGTTTCCTTATTAGTTTCTGTGTAGATGATGTGTCCATTGATGAAAGTGGGGAGTTCAAGTGTCCCACTACTATTGTATTACTGTTGATTTCTCCCTTTACTCTTGTTTGTATTTGCCTTACATTTTGAGGTGCTCATGTGTTGGATGTATATATATTTGTAATTTTTATATCTTCTTCAGTTGAATACTTGATCATCATGTAGTGCCCTTCTTTGTCTCTGTAAGTCTTTTTTTTTTAATCTATTTTGTCTGGTATGATTATTGCTACTCCAGCTTTCTTTTGATTTTCATTTGCATGGAATACCTTCTCCTATCCCCTTACTTTCAGTCTGTAAGTGTCCCTAGGTCTGAGGTGGGTCTCAGCATATATATGTGTCTTGTTTTTGTATCCACCCAACCAGTCTATGTCTTTTGGTTGGTTGCTGCATTTAATCTATTTACATTTAAGGTAATTATTAATATGTATGACCTTATTACCATTTTCTTAATTGTTTTGGGTTTATTTTTTGTAGGTTTTTTCCTTCTCTTGTGTTTCCTGCCTAAACAGGTTCCTTTGGTTATTTGTTGTATAGATGATTTGCTGGTGCTGAATTCTCTTAACTTTTGCTTGTCTGGAAAGCTTTTGATTTCTCCATCAAATCTGAATGTGAGTCTTGCTTCATTGAGTATTTATGATTGTAGGCTTTCCCCTTTCATCATTTTAAATATATCATGTCATTCCCTTCTGGCTTGTAGAGTTTTTGTTCAGAAATTACCTTATAACCTTATGGCAGTTCCTTTGTATATTATTTTTTGTTTTTCCCTTGTTACTTTTAATATTTTATCTTTGTCTTTAATTTTTGTCAGTTTGATTACTATGTGTCTTGGTGTGTTCCTCCTTTGGTTTATCCTGCCTGGGACTCTGCAGTTCTGGGACTTGGTTGATTATTTCCTTTCCCATGTTTGGGAAATTTTCAGCTATTATCTCACCAAATATTTTCTCTGTCCTTTCTCTCTTTTCTCCTTCTAGGGTCCCTAAAATGCAAATGCTGGTATGTTTAATGTGGTTCCATAAGTCTCTTAGTCTGTTGCCATTTCTTTTGATTCTTTTCTTCTATGTTCTATTTTGCAGCAGTGATTTCCACCATTCTGTCATCCAAGTCACTTATCTGTTCTTCTGCCTTAACTATTCTGTTATTGATTCATTCTAGTGTATTGTTTTTTGTTTTTTTTTTTTTCTGTGTGTTTGTTCTTTAGGTCTTCTAGGTCTTGGTAACCATTTCTTTCATCTTCTCTGTTATTTTTCCAAGATACTGGATCATCTTCACTATCATCATTCTGAACTCTTTCTGGAAGGTTGCCAATTTCCAGTTCATTCAGTTGTTTTACTGATGTTTTATCTTGTTCCTTCATCTAGGATATAATCTTCTGCTGTCTTATTCTGATTAGCTTTGTGTGATTGTTATTTTCATTATGAAGGCTGTGACACTGTAGTTCTTACTTCTTCTGTCTGCCCTCTTGTGAATCTACATTTTATATTCTTAATTGTATATTGTCCATGTTTAAAGAAATTCAGTTACCTTGTTTATTATATATATCATTTGTTTCATATTAATTTTTGAGTTCAGTTCAGTTGTCGCTCAGTTATGTCCGACTATTTGAGACCCCATGAACTGCAGCACACCAGGCCTACATTTCCATTACCAACTCCCAGAGTTTACCCAAACTCTTGTCCATTGAGTCAGTGATGCCATATAACCATCTCATCCTCTGTCATCCCCTTCTCTTCCTGCCTTCAATCTTTCCCAGCATCAGGGTCTTTTCAAATGACTCAGCTTTTTGCATCAGGTGGCCAAATTATTGGAATTCCAGCTTCAATATCAGTCCTTCCAATGAACACCCAGGACTGATCTCCTTTAGGATAGACTGGTTGGATCTCTTTGCAGTCCAGGGGACTTTCAAGAGTCTTCTCCAACACCACAGTTGAAAAGCATTGATTCTTTGACACTCAGCTTTCTTTATAGTCCAACTCTCACATACATACATGACTACTGGAAAAACCATAGCCTTGACTAGACAGACCTTTGTTGACAATGTCTCTGCTTTTTAATATGCTGTCTAGGTTGGTCATAACTTTCCTTCCTTTTGAGTACTTACTAGTTTATGAGGGAAGTTTAACTCATTTGGTTTAACGTATTTTTTCCAGCAACTTAACATGATGAGTTTTAAAATATCCTCAGTTATAGATAAAATTACATATACATATATCCAGTTGGATATCTCTATTTTTTCAAGATTATATTATATGACTATTTTAGCAGGTTTACCTCCTTCATTGAGACCAGCAATCAATTTACTTTGCAAACATTTTATCTTATACCAATTATTAGTGATAAGATAAGAAGATATAACTTTTGAAGTATTTTTCTGTAGAAGTTTTTAATTCTCAATTTACCATTAAAAAATCAATTATGCAAACATTCTCATGCCCTCAAGCATTTGAGTTATTTGCTATTATACTTTAATGGGATTTTAACTTGAATAAAAGTTTTCCTTACAAGTATTATTTGGAGTTTATATAATTTATAACCAGTTCTTAGCATATTGATGTATTTTTAAGTCAAAGTAAAATGGCAAGTCTGATAGCCAAGGACAGTAATCATTTACCTGGTATTTCAATAATATTACTTTACAACTTACCTTGACTGTTTGAGCATCACTTCTTATAAATAAGCATAATACAGATTCATTGATCATCACTAAATATAATTTATCAAAACCAAAAAATGTTTTATTGAATACCAAATTCCTTCACCACTACCACTTAGAAAGGCTGATTTTTCAGTCTCTTAAGAACCATGTGTTTGAGATCACCAGCCCAGGTTGGATGCATGAGACAAGTGCTCGGGCCTGGTGCACTGGGAAGACCCAGAGGGATCGGGTAGAGAGGGAGGTGGGAGGGGGGATTGGGATGGGGAATACATGTAAATCCATGGCTGATTCATGCCAATGTATGACAAAAACCACTACAATATTAAAAAGAAAGAAAGAAAGAAAAAAGAACCGTATGTTTGGGAGGGAAGGAGAGAGCAAGTGTAGAGTTCTGAGTACTCCCCAATCCTTGTATGTCTTAGGAAAAGGTGTGGTTAAGTATAGGCTAACCAGAGTCATTGTTCTCAGAAATACTTTGGTCTCTGGAATCACTCCACAGAATCTTATGAGAGTACCATCTATCTCCTTATGTGGCAATGCTGATGTAATATAGTGTTACTAGCTATTCACCTTAGTAGTTTCTACTTAAAAAGGGCCTTGCAATTATGTAAGATGAATAAATGTAGACAGCGAATATATAGTACAATGACTGTAGGTAATTATTTGATGATTGTAACTCATTTATTACACAGACCAATTAAGTTTTATTATAATAATTTTATTGTCCATAGATTTCCAAACCATATCTCCAGGCCCAAAAAACGTCCTCAAAATTTTCTTAAATTTTCAGAGGAACTGCACTACTTTTTGAATTTTGCCATGAAGGAAGGCCTTTTAAATCTCTTGTTTTCAATAAGGTAACAGCATTTGTCCACATAGGGGATATGCTCTGAATGCAGACCTATCTTGACATCTTGTGTGAATTCTTTGGTGTTGATCAGCATTCCAAATAGTATCAATGCATACCTTACTGAGATTCCATTTGTTGTTTCCACAGATTTCAGGAAACCTTACTGTGCCTTGGATTACAGGGTGTTCTAGAAAAAGAGCAGTAAGTAATCTTTCATTTAAAGCAGCAATTGGGTTTCCCCCGTCTCATTAGTAGGAATGCCATTGAGAAAATTGTCCTGATATTTGTAAAGTTGAAAATACTGAGCCTCAGTAAGTTAATTAATCCTAATCTCAAAGGACATATTTTGAGATCATAATATTTATATAAACTAAAAAGTAGCCTTAAATAAAAGGCAGTAATTAGAACATTGTATAAACTTTGAGCAGCTTTTTCAGTTTAAAAAAATTAAAGATATTTCATAAAATATCATAATTTTTATACATCTAATAAGCCCAGTTAATTTGATCATAGAATTGAATCATGATTGATATAAACATCTCGATCAAGGTTAAATAAATTACATTACTATATATTTGTGTATTTCAGTATTTAGAAGTGGTGAGTAACTAATATTTTAACAATATTACAACTGTTATGTTTCTTATTATATTAATCTAACAGAATTTCATTAAAATTGTGTTTTCCTAAAGAATCTCATTCAGTTAGTCTGTGTAGCACCTATAAATCTAACATGCAGGAGATTTTGATGTAACTTTTCCTTAGAAGGGAAACTATTAAAGGATTCAATAGTAAAAGAAAAAAAAAATGTGAGTAGACTTTTAGAAAATATCTCAAGTTATCGCATGGTAAATAGCTTTGAAACAATGGAAAATAATTGAGAGTGCAGAAATAGTTGCTATATTTATAGGGAACTGATTTTATAAAAAATGTTAATTCATTGTGGAAGAGAAAGATGTTTGTTTAATGAATGGTACTGGGACAGTCCGACTTGCACACACACACAAAATTACTTCAAAATAGATTATAGACCTAAATGCACGAGCTATACCAATAACTTTATGAAAAAAATAAGAGAAAATATTTGAGACTAAGAGTTAGGCAAAGATTTCTTAGATATTAAGTCAACAGTGCAGTCCATAAAATTTAAAAATGAATAAATTGGATCTCAACAAAATTCAAAACCTTAACACTTTGAAAGATACCATGAAGAAAACGAAAAGATGAGCAACAGCCTAAAAGGAAATATCTGCAAATCACTTATCCCTTAATGGACTTTTATCCAGCATATACAAAACACTTACAAGGACAAATGATCTGTTCACAAAATGAACAAAAGATATGAGCTTGATATTTCAACAAAACTGATACATGAACATTCAATAAATATGTGAACAGCTGCTCAAAATCATACACCATTCAGGAAATGCATATTGAAACCAAAATGAGGTATTTCACACTCTCTAGAATAAGAATCATTGGCAAAGATATGGAGATAAAGGAACAATCATACATTGATGTTGGGACTGTAAAATAGTACAGCCACTTTGGAAAACACTTTGGCATTTTTTTTAAAGCTAAACATAACACCTGCCCTATTATCCAACTATTCTGATAAGTCTTTGCCCAAGAGGAGTGATAGCACTTATCCTTACAAAAACTTTTACATGAATCTTTATAGCAGCTGTATTTATAGTAGCCTAAAAGTAGAAACAAACTAAATGTTCATTAACAGGTGAATGGATAAAAAATTTTTTGTTCATATAGGGGAATAGTAATCAACAATTAAATCAATTAAAAAGTGAACTATTGATGCACACATCACATGACTGAATCTTAAAATAATCAGCTTGAGTGAAAGAAACCAGATTTTAAAAATGAATACATACTGTATGCTTCCATCTGTATAAAATTATTGAAAATGCAAACTAATGACAGGAAGCAGGTCAGTGCTTGCGTGGTCATGTAAGCGGGCAAAAGGTGGGGCAAACTGATTGAAAGAGGGCATTAGGAAACATTTGAGGATGATGGGTGTATTCACCCAAGATTGTTTCTTGACATATACACAAATGAGAACATCAAATTGTACAATTTAAATATGTGTAATTAATTTTCATTAGTTATGCCTCAATAAAGCTTTTAAAAAGCTAACAATTCAGTTACTAGAAAACTTGGATATTTGAATCTACTTTTTCAACTGTAAATCTTGTGAAACTTATGTATAGGTCAAGTTTGTATGATGAAAATTTAGCATTCAAACTGACATATGCTACAAGTATAAAATAAGTGATTTCAAAGATTTTGTGAAAAGAATATATAAATGTCTAAATTTTTATGCTAATTGCTGTTTAAATGAAAAAATTTTGAATAGATTGAGGTAAAGTATGTTAGTAAAATTAATTTTACCAGGAGTTTCTCACTCTTTTAATATTGCTGTTAGAAAATGGAAGCCTATGTATTTATCTCATATTCTATTTCTATTGTACTCCAGAAGTCTACAATGTGCCAGACATTGTGCTCGATCTTAGGGATACAATGGTGAGAAAAGCCAGATATTTTCACTGTTCTTATGGAACTGGTTATCTAGATTTAATAGGAAGAGAGGTATTCATGAAATAATTACGTAAATATAAAATGCCACTGTGAGAAACACCCATGTTGATCACTTTCTAGCTTCTCCTGGACACACATTTTATCCACACAATGAAATATAACCATCATCTGAAAATTCTTTAGCTTACTTCCAAGGAAAATTTACCACTGTCAGTGTCCCTCAATCAAACCAATAAGAATAAATCAGTAGTGAAATAAGCTGTATTTATTACTTGTTGTAGCAAAGAAGAACACATAGCATAGAGAACCTTGATATATCTCAGTAAGAGGATGTTAGAAATACCTAACTGAAGGATTTGGACTTTGGCTGGGTAATTTAGGGGAGGGTATAATGAAGTGAGCATTTGCTCTAAATTGGATGTTTTGAGAGTGATAAGTCGCTTCAGTCATGTCTGATTCTTTGTGGTCCTATGGACTATCACCTGCCAGCCTCTTCTCTCCTTGGGGTTTTCCAGGCAAGAACATTGGAGTGGGTTGCATTTTCTTCTCCAGGTGATCTTCTCGACCTGGGGATCGAGCCTATGTCTCTTACATCTCCTGCAATGGCAAGCAGGTTCTTTACCAGTATTGCCACCTGAAAAGTCCCAGCAGGGACAATTCAGTGATAGGGTATTTAGAATGTGACATTGCAGCCTTGGTTTTGACTGCTGAGACAAAATTATGAAGTAGCTTTGTTTTATTTCATGTTATCATGGTCTCTGTTGGCTATGATGGCTATTACATTTCTTCTAAAGGAATCTTGTCCACAGTAGTAAATATAATGGCCATCTGAGTTAAATTCACCCATTCCAGTCCACTTTAGTTCTGTGATTCCTAAAATGTCAACGTTCACTCTTGCCATCTCCTGTTTGACCACTTCCAATTTGCCTTGATTCATGGACCTAACATTTCAGGTTCCTATGCAATATTGCTCTTTTAGAACATCAGACTTTACTTCTATCACCAGTCACATCAACAACTGGGTGTTGTATTTGCTTTGGCTCTGTCACTTCAAAAAGGACAGAAATGGTCTGAACCTAACAGAAGCAGAATATAGTAATAAGAGGTGGCAAGACTACACAGAAGACCTATACATGAAGGATCTTCAGGACCCAGACAACCATGATGGTGTTATCACTCACTTAGAGCCAGACATCCTGGAATGCAAAGTCAAATGGGCCTTAGGAAACATCACTACAAAACTAGTGGAGGTGATGGAATTCCAGTTGAGCTATTTCAAATCCTGAAAGATGATGCTGTGAAAGTGCTGCACTCAATATGCCAGCAAATTTGGAAAACTCAGCAGTGGCCACAGGACTGGAAAAGGTCAG